TTGATACCAGATGCCTCAAGCGTGTATCTTTTAATAAGATAATATTTTAGCTTATTTTAGCCAGGAGTTCTCCTAAATTGCAGTTCCCGGCTGAAAGTCCTAAACTTAGAGTAGTAGAGAGTAGTAGTAGATCATGTTGTCTTTCCAAAGCTTGTGGAGAGCACATTTACAGTGTATCTGTGTTTTACAAGGGACTATGAAGTGAAACTAGCCTTCAGTTTACGGTCAACATTTTGTAAGGCAGAATGGGGCCAGACAAAGGTGAAAACCCATACTGTAAATGTCCCAGATAAATAGGTGAGTGTGTGTGCGTGTGTGTGTGTGTGCGTGTGTTTGAGTCTGCAGAATTTATATTATATATATATACCCACTTCCTACTATTACTACTACTACACCATTTCCCAAGTGACATTATTCAGCAGCCTCAGCCACCAGGGACGGAGAAATTATGAGTTCGACCTGGACTCTTCTTCGCAACAAAAACTATCCAGACACAGTTTTTTAGACTCTTGTTAATCTCTCCACCACACATCCACATTGCTTCCAGGTGGTTGCTGTTTCAAACCACAGACAACCAAAGAGGGTCTGAGGCTTTTCGAGATTGAGACCGTTCTGTCTTTGGAGCAGAGGACACTCAAGGAAAAACTGGACCCATCTTCCATCAGTGAGGTTAGTTACTGTAGATCATTGTCCACCATTCAGTTGGAAGTCAAATGAAAATGAGATGCCACAAATTTTAACATTGTCTTTACATGCAAAATCATTCGTCCTTGTTGTTTTTTTAGGATATTTTGTCAAGCATCTTCGCTAGTCAAGGGTATGACGAATATCCAGAGACGTCCCTGCCAAGTCAGATACACAACAAAGTGACAGTGACAGAGAGGTGAGTGAGAGAAGCAACCATTCTAGAGGCTGATAATAAACCTGTGAGGTTATTAGGAACTTGGGAAACAAATAGATCAACGTACTATTACTACAGTTTGAAATCATAACCTAGTCTTTTTATTGCCGGGCAGAGAATGAGTTGATAAAGTCAAGGTTTCACACATAAAAAGAAGCATCTTTGTTAGATGTAGTCTAGAGACAAGCTAGCATCTGTGAGACTTTGTGCACATCTGTGCTTTGAGCTAAATGCAACAAATGCTAACATGTGAATTGCCAAGCAGGTATGTTTACTCTTGTCACTAATTTAGTTTAGTATGTTAGCATGCTGGCAATTTGCGTGTTTAGCAGCAAGCACAAAGTGGAGCTGAGGTTGATGGGAAAATCATTCGTTATTCAGGTATTTGGTCACAAACCAAAGTGTTAAAAAAATGTAAATTTTGACCTGATGATAAAATTTCGCAGCAATCCATCCAGTAGTAGATCATGCTGCCAGCATTAATGAAATCTGCTCTAATTAAATGTTGAAAAATGTATTAAAGAGTGAGTTAAGGAGAGAATAATTTTTACTTCATTGTTTAGGAATTTAGCCAAAACATTAAAATGCTTTACAAGAGATTCACACAGAAATTAAATGACTTTCATTAACTTTTTGATATGTCTTAATAACCAACAAGCCTGAGAACATTGTCCTTGGTAAAAAGAGAGGTGGTATAGCCTCTTAGCTCTATGATTTCAAACGAAAAAAAAAAAACATATATCTTTGGAGCAAATTTACTTGTTGTGTTTGCATTAAATTTGAAGCATTAACAATATTTCTAAATAGAACCCTGAAAAAGAAGATATCGGAGTTAAAAAAAGGCTGGTTTCTGGAGAAGGACAAACGTATCCTTGAGGAGCTCAGGAGCCTGCATTGTGACCCACATCCCTTCTTCAGAGTCTTTCCATCAGACTCAGACTTTAGTAAGTGGCATGTTCTCTCATTTGGGCCTAATGCTGTTTTTTTCTGTCTGTATGCTTAAAGCCAAACACAGCATGCCTTAATTCATACAGACCTGAAGGCACACAGGCTCCACGGTTTACTTTGTATATCACAACTGTTTTTGTCTCAATTGTTTTTTTGGGTACATTGCTATCATCAGCTGCATGGTGGCCTTGCTTGAAGGTTTCTAAAAGCAACAAGGGTTTAACCTTTCTTCTAAATCTATTCAGCGTTCTGGAAGATTCTCATGGAGGGTCCTCCTGACACACCGTATGAGAAAGGAGTGTTTGAGCTGTACTGCCAGTTTGGTCCCGACTACCCAGTGAAGCCTCCACTCGTCCGCTTTGTCACACAAGTATCCTGCCAAAATACAAACAACTGAAAAGTTATGTGTTTATTTTTTGCATGATATGTAGAGACACACATGCTGCGATTGCAAAAGTATTGTTCATGACTAATAAAGTAATGTTATCTTTTAGCAATGTACATGCTGTCCTTAACACGATGACAGGTGTACCACTGCAATGTCAACAGTGTGGGTCGCATCTGCCACAGCATATTTGACCGCAACTACAACGCTCACATCACAATGAGAGAGATCCTAGAAGCTGTGTATGGACTGCTCATCATCCCTGAGCCTAACGATCCACTGGACAGGTGAGACACACACACACACACACACACACTCACACACTCTGTGGTATGGTATGGATATGTCTTAAGCAGAGAAGTGAGAAGTTTGAGAAGTTCACAGCCTTAGATCAGCAATTTAGTTTTTTACTATCCTGGAAAAATGAGGGTATTTTGACAGCAAAAACTGTCCAGCTAATATTTAACAATGCACAGAAGGTTAGACACAGTAACAGTCTCACCTGTACAATAAAATGCAATTCAATACAGCAGCTCTTCAGAAAAAGTACTGCCATTATAATTTTCAGGGTTTTCTGAGATTATGTCAGAGAGGTTATGACATTACATAAACTTGTAAAAATGTGACATATTTGACTTGCATATTATCTTTTTTCCTTTTTGAAGCATTTTGGCCGAGGAATTCCTGACGAGCCGTGAGACGTATGAGCAAGAAGCAGAGAAACATACAGAGGAAACAGCAGGAAACTCACTGGATGACATGGAGAAAGTAAATACTGTACACATCTGTGGTTGATATTACCTTTTTTTTTCTATCGCATGAACATTATGTTTCATAATGTTTATTTTCTTTGTTTTAAAGAAATTGGTGGATCCTGTGCAACAATTCGTACCCCAGCATCTGATCTGTCCGCTTACGAAGAAGATGTTTATTGATCCTGTGAGAACCGTATATGGCACCGTGTATGAACGCAAGGCCATTGAGGAACACCTAAAACAGTGAGTTAATTTACTACTGTTGTCAATAGAGTGAGTTCCTGGTAATAGTTATTTAAGAGACATATGAACAGATCTTTTAATGGCTTTTGAACACACCGCAAAGTTCATGTAATGAAAGGACATCTTCATTTTTGACTTGTAGTTCGTAGTAAACACAGGCAGGTTAATGTCTGGACAAAAATGGGGGGTATGAAACAGCTTCACCTCATTAAAAAAACAAACATTGGCAGCATTCCCATGTATTTCCCCAGTTGATCTTACACTCTTTTGCAGACACGAGTACGAACCGTTGGCTGGCCCAGGACACAATCTTGAAATGGGTGACATCACGGCCGACCAGGACATGAAGAAAATGGCGATGGATCATCGTTCTCGTCAAATTAAGTGAATCTGAGCAGAAAAACTTTGAAGTTGAGGAAAGTTAGCTACACCTCGGTACTTTCATGCAAATTCATCTTTCTGAAGAGACGTTTGATAATTGTTTGATAAGCTTGTTCATACTGCAGGTTTACATTTAATGTTTCATAACGTACCTTTCAATGTTTGTTTTCATTATCATATTGTTCATAGATTTTCAAGGCATTAAAATTACATCGTAATGAAGCCTATCATTTTTTACTGAATCAAGTTTTGGTTGTGAGCAATCGTTTTGCCCTAACGTCACTTCTACTTCATGTGAACAGTAACAATTACTTGTTTCCTACCACTTTTTTAAGTCACATTTCCAACAGTCACTCATACATTTATTAAATACATTTACTTCTTATTGGGTATAATAAATAATAAAAGTTTATTGCATTTCTCTTACTCATGATAGTGAAGCAATAAATGATGAAGAAAAGAGGGATTGAGTGATGGATGCAGCTTTACTTTTTCATTTTCAACGATGTTAAAACATCTTTTCTTTAAGTGATCCAGTTAAATCTGATGTATCGTGATGATCTAGTTGTAACAGAGTTTAAGTTTATGAAGGTGCAAATTGAATTTGGGTGGATAGCCTTATGTGACAATAAAGGATATTGCAAAACCGATGTGTCCTGGCTTATTATCAACATTGTTGAAGATAAAAACATAAAAAAGTTAAGGCTTTAAGATGTATATTTGTTTTATTTTTTTTAAACTGCCTCTATGACTTACGTTGTTATTAGATATTATTACTACTCGTGCATTTGTGTGTTAGCAGCATTTTACTGTTGTAGTTGTTGAGGTGCAGTTTTTATACAGTACTGAAACTAATGATTATTCCATTATGGATTAATCTTCTGATTATTTTCTCAATGAATTGATTGGTTTGTAAAATTTAAGAAAATAAAGAGATGCTTTGACTATGCTTGTTTTTTCCAAACAATAGTATAAAAATATTATTAGAATTAATAAAGTATTCAGTAGATACTAAGGCTACAGCTTTCCCCAACGTGTATGTAGTTATTAATCATCATTATTGATATTGTTACCACAGTATTAACTCAGTGCCGGAGGACCAATCAATGCAGCCCATTCCGCCCTACGTCACGTCCGTACTTCCTGAGTCATTAGAGAGGGATGGATAGAAAGGAAATAATCACTCTTGTTTTCAAACTAAATTTCCTTGAATTCGAAAAATGGGTATTAAATACATTATAGGCCAATACACGACATTAAAACGAATCCCTTAAAAGATTAATGATATAATTTTACGTGTGTACGTCTTGTTTCTGGCTGAACGTCGAAAACACCGGTGTACACTGCGGTCAGTGATGGTTTTATTTTGAAGGTCGTAGCCGGAAATGTTTCAAATAAATGTGTAAAGTGAGATTACGGTGAGATTGAGTGAAGACGTCCAAAGTGAGTGAAACAGGAGCAGTCAGACAGCAGGTGAGCCTGGTTACTGGATCTCTACCTAAAGTTTAATGTATTAGTGTCTTTACTTTATCTCTTTGCTCACGCTTCAACTTCAAGTTAGTCTGTAGATCTAAATTTAACCTTAACAGGTGTATTAGTTTAACTTCAACGTTAGACCTGCCAGCGTTAATAACATTAGTTTAAATTTCAAATCTCCAAGTGTTAACGTTATGTGTCTTTATTTCTAATTCTTGTGAATGACATGTGTGACCAAACATTACTCTCAGACTGTAGTAACTACACTAAATGTAACGTTAATTGTCCATTACTTCTGCAGTCATGATACTAGTTCCCTTATCATTCGCTTTGATTACTATTGTTCGTTAGCCATGATCTCAGAGTTAGTCTAACATTTGCATCGGCTCCTTCAATATGTTTGATTAGTGTCGACAATCATTTGAAATAGGTTTTTCGTTTTAATGTAGTAATCTTTTGGTTTACTCTCAACTATTCCTGTACTGTAGTTTCTGCAGAGGGGTAGCCTGACTTTCCTGCGGAACCTGTTCACACCTGTTCACACCTGTTACAGGTTCACAGGCATCCTAAAAAGTGGGAGCACTGAAAGTCGTTTTGAAACAGTCGCACTAAATCACAGTGGGTCTGTTTGTAGTGTGACTCCCTGTTAGGACTGTAACACGATAGTTGAATTACTTACAGGATGGGCCACAGATTTTATGTCAACAGTAGGGGTGACACACACACACACACACACACACACACACACACACACACACACTGGATTAAACCCATTAAAACTCACCAACATACTGCAGGTGTTGGTGGATAGACATCGTACTTTCTTCTCTCTTTTGCCAGCATGTAATTAAATACAGAGTTAAATGCATGCATTAAAAAGGCTGAGAATTATTTGTGTAAATATCAATCACTGTGGTTTAATTCCCTGCTCATAGACATTGTTGTTAATGTTAAAAAATAGTTTTTCAGGCAGAGAAACTATAATCTGAGACACATTTGGATGAATGCATCTCTTACTGAGAGGTACAGAAATGCATATTTTCCAGAGAAATCTTCATTTACAGTTGCCAGTAAAAATAACACATGAACAAACAAAATCTAAAACACGTAGCAAAGCACATTTGACATTAATGGTATTAATTATTTTCTGTTATGAAAGATATTATGAGTACAAGCTGTAAAATAATTAAGATTCATCTTTACTTCTACCTCTTGTATAATTGATTTGTTTTAAATTTGCTTTAACTTTTGTACACATCAATAATAAACCCCGCTGCCTTCCTCTGCTTTTGTACCACATGTGTGTCCTTTAGAGAGATGTGGTGGGTGCTGTGGGTGCTCGCAGCCTTGCTGGCTCTCTTCTGCAGTTTTGATGTGTGGTACTTCCTGCGGGCTGCCGTTGTGATTCTCCGAGCCTGGTTCCAGCCTCCGATCTGGGATGTCACAGCAGAGCAGACCCTAACAGGCCGGGTCACTCCCCATGACATCGACATGTGCCACATGAACAATGCCCGTTACCTCCGGGAGTGTGACTTTGCCCGCTTCTCTCTCTACATGCGTAACGGTGTGTTCAAGGCAGTGCGAGCCCTCAAAGCTTCAATGGTCGTGGGGGCCACCACCATCCGTTACCGCAGGGCTCTGTGTATAGGTGAGGGGTACGAGCTGCGGAGTCGCATCGTCACCTGGGATGACAAAGCCTTTTTCTTGGAGCAGAGATTTGTGTCGGCAAAAGATGGGTTGGTGTGTGCCGTCATGTACTGCAAGCAGAGTGTCATACGCAGTAGCCCAGACAAGATCATGCAGCACCTGTGCAAGCGGAAGGTAAGGAACAGATGTTTAAACACGCATTTACATTTTATACTGGGAAAGGTGATTAAAAAAAGTCCTTTTGGGTAATTTACAGACATTAAGTCTATGGTTTGCTTCTTGCAGGTGGAGTGCCCTGAGTTTCCAGAGGACCTTCAGCATTGGGTGAACTTCATCTCCGCCAGCAGCCAGGCCCTCAGAGCAGAGAGCGGACTTGATGAGAAGAACAAATAAGGCACTAATTTACCCGCTCAGGGTTAAAAAGTCCTCAGAGAGAGACATTTTTCTTCTGTTTACAATGAGTTTACTTAAACACACATGTGCCTTCTGAAAATAAGCTCTACTTAGCCCCCAATACTTACCTATGTCAGCACTAGAAGAACTATCACACTACAATGTTTGGAGAGGCTGAAAATGGATTACTTGAATAGGAAAGTAATATTATTGTATAAACTGTATTCTATTGTGCTATGACAGCAATAAAACAAATCCATTTCGAAGTCCTCTTTATGCACTTTTAAGCTCTTTTATTGCACTCTCAAGACTTCAGTTTAGTGTCTTTCCGTGAGCAAATGTGAAACTATGAGAATAATTTGGTCAAAAACAGAGAAATCAGTGGTTCTGGTTACAAATCAGAAAAAAGGTGCAAGGCAACAAATGAGAATTTGACTAAAGATGTTGTGAAAATGAAGAAGTACAGTAACAAGAGTGTCACATCAGTTACATTGTCTCTATAGTGGGATATATCAGGTAGAAACAAACCATCGCCTGACACAGAGCGACCCCACAGCAAGTACGAGGCAATTTCTGGTCAATCTGACATGAAAAATAAAATGCATGACATTAACCGTAGCTATAATATTGCATTAGCAACACATTGACGCTGACAGCAGTGGTTACTATAGCAACAAGATGTTAAACTGAAACCATATGCTGGTGGCAGAATAAACAGACTTCAGGCTGAGCTCTCTGCATGTATAAAACTTAACATTTACTATGCTATAACAGAATAAAACAACACAAACTTTAAAAAAGGTTTTATTCAAAAATGGATTTATGAATGAGAGCCATCACACGTTTGATGTGTGTCTGAGTAGAAAAAGAAGCCAACATTGAAGTTTAATAAATAAATTAATGATAGTAAAACAGAATAATAAATAGAAATGAGATAAATAAAATGATGCAGATTTTAAATCCATATTGATTGAACAGAAACTGGAGTTCTTTGAACAACAGCATTGTAATTGCCTTTTAAACTTGGTTAGTATTCCATGAATTCAGCTTTTGTGTATATAATAGTTTGTGGGAATTAAGTTAATCAGACAGCACACAACATAAAAGAGTAATAACATCAATCATTGAACATGAAAACATGTATCCATGTAACCCATGGCAACGAGGCAGCCAGTGAAATTTTGTGTTGTCAATTCTGATCAATTACATTTTTAACAATATCTCATACAGGCATTTTACTTCCACTTGCACTGTTTACTGT